GGTGTATGAGGCGCATGCGGCAGATGCCTGCCAGTATGTGGCGCAGCAGCTGGAGGCCTGGGCAGACGAGGCAGGTGGCACGTGACCTCCACCCCTGCTCTCGCTCCCCATTGCTGCTCCCTCCTGCCAGCACCCCCGCCCCCCACTTTGAGCTTGCAACACCTACCACTGTTCTACTGATCGGCGCCTGGCGGCAGCCTGCCTGGCTGCTGAGTGAGGGCGAGCAGCGCCGGTGACCCCTCTCCATGCAACCCCCCTCCTATTGTCCTATGTTTCGTTTCATGCTGCCCACACTTACTCATCAGCCAGCACCACCCATCCCCCCCCACCCCCGCCGCCGCCCCGCCCACCCTGGCGCCTCTCCCTCTCCCTCTCCCTCCCCCTCACCCGCCTGCAGGCCAGCGAGGTGCTACTGCCCCACCCCGACCGCCTGCCCGGGGCGGAGGCGGCTCTGGAGGCCGCTGCCGCCGCCTTCCCAACGGATCAGGCAGCCAAGGCCAGCCGCCGCGCGGCGGCCAAGATAGGGCTGCAAGACCCGGCGGGCGACTTTAGGAAGCTGCTGGCCGAGGGGGGTACGCCCCGCTGCCCCGCCCTTGGGTCCCTGTGTGGGGGGGGTGCAGCCTCCGCGGCCGGCGTTGCCGAGCCGCTTCCGAGCGGCTCACGCGGCCCTGCCACCCTGTCCCAGCTCTCCCACCGACTTTTCCGTTCTCTAGCTGCCCCTCCTCTGACTGTCGTTGTTCCCACCGCCGCTTTCTTCCCTGCCGCCACCCGCAGGCGACCCCCACGATGCCTTAGATGCCCTGGCCACCGCCGTCGTGCACCTTGTGTTTGGTTCCATGGGCAGCAGCAAGTTCCAGCAGGTGGGCCGAGCGTGGTGGTGGTGGTGGCGGTGGTGATGGCGTCGGTGGTGTGTGCGTGCATGTGTGTTGCCGCACCGCTGCCGGGTGGCAATGGACATGTGCGCTGGACGCCCATTGCATTGTAATTATGTATATACTTACAAGATGGCGCTGCCCTCCTCGCACGACTGGCCGGGCTCTACTGCCGCTCATCTCGCGCCTGCCCCCTGGGGGCCCCTCCCTCGCTGCGTCCCGCCCACCCGCCGCCGCCGCTGCAGGGCGTGCAGCTGGTGGACCTTCTGAGGGAGGGCTGCGTGGATGCCAATGAGCCCTCTGTCTTCAACGACTTTCTGGAGGTGGTGGAGAAGAAGTGAGGGGGCGGGGGTTTGGGGAGTGGGAGGCGGCAGGCGGCCGGGGTGGGGGCCAGGGGCCGGCAGCCGCGGGGACGGCGCAGCGGGCGGCAGCGGTGGGAGCGGCTGCCGCTCGTGCCGGGGCTGCGGCGCGGAGCTGCGCGCACCTGCCGCTCTGTGCTGCTGCCGCTCTGCCGCTGCCCTGACCCTGACCCGGCTTGCCTCTGGGCTGGCCCGCTGGCCCTACCTCTGCGCCGTGCTCCCCGTGCCTGGCAGGTGCAAGCAGGATGAGACGAAGGCCGACTTTTGGAAGTGGCTGAGCCGGCGGGAGATCAAGAAGATAGCCAAGGACGAGGCGGGCGCCAGCCAGCTGGAACCCAGCCAGGCGGAGGAGTGGTACACGCAAAAGGCGCAGGCCTGAGGCGGGGCTCAGCTGGGCCCCGGCGGCGGCGGCGGCTGGGCCGGAGCGGGGCTGCCGCCGGCCACGTGCAGGCTGCCGCGCGGCCCTGATGCCCCGGCATGTGCACCCTTGACCCTGCCCGCCCCCGTTCACCGGTCTATCGTGTAAAGGCAGGGGTGGGTGGGGCTGCGGCATGTTCCACATGCGCCGAGGGCGCGGGGAGGCTTCCACACCCTGCTGACCGCGCGCTGCTCTGGCTGCCCCATTACCTTCTGGGTCCGCTCCCCGACCCGAAACAGGGCGAAAAGGCGGCTGCCAGAAGCGCCTTGGGTCGGCTGCTTCCGCAGCTGCAGCTGCTTTTTGACCGGAAAGCACGTCCACATTCATAACAGGCCCCCCTCTGTCCCGTTCACCACAGCATCGGCTTCCAAGCACCCCCGGGCAGCTGGGAAGGCTGTGACACAGGAGGGTGGACGGCCGTGAGTGCTCCACTCCCCCCCACCCTACCCTCGCCCCCCTGCCAGGGCAGGCTCAATTGTACATCTGCTGCAGCACAGGGTAATTCTGCCGCATGCTGCCGAGGGCAGCCCTGCACAGACCACCGCCAGGCGCGCAGCGCCCCGCGGCCCGCCACTCCTCGCCTTCCCCCGTTCGCATTCAAGCGCTCCGAGAGGCGAACACGCCGGTTCCAGCCGCGCAGCCCGCGCCGTGCACCCTGGCTGGGCTGCCGCCGCCCGCCGCCCGCGCCCGCCGCCTGCCTCAGCAGCTCCGCTAAGCCGGGCGGTAAGCACTGGCCCCCCTGCCTGCGCAGGCACCCGCACGCGGACGAATGCCGCCGCGCCCCCATGGCGCCGCCCACACGCTCCCCGCTGGCGCCGGCCCGCCTGCGGCTGCTGGCCGCGCTGCTGGTGGCGGCTGCATCCATGCTGCCGCTGGCAGAGGGCCACGGCTTCATGTCTGAGCCCCAAGCCCGCAACTACCTCCACAACTGGCGCTACTGCCCCCACTGCGGTGAGAGCAGCCAGCTGCCCGCGCAGCCGCTCGCCGCAGGCCTGGATGCCGGAGGTGCCACGCGCGGCGTCGAGGCGCGTCGCCGCCCTGCGTGCCGCCGCCTGGCCTCACCATCGTGAAACCAACCCTCGCCCTCCCCCGCGCCGGCCCCCACCTGCTGCGCAGTCAACTTTGGCGGGCCGGGGCCCAGCTCCCAGGGTGGCGCCCTGGTGTGGCCTCAGTCCGCCAACCCTGTGTGCGGCGACACAGACCCACTCCTGGCAAACCCCGGGCAGCTGGTTGCCAGCTACTCTCCTGGCTCAGGTGAGGGGGTGGGCACGGCCGCTGCGCTGGAGGCTTTACTGGGGGCAGCCCCCGGGAGGCCTGCCGGGGCGCGGGCCTTGCCTTGCGGGCCCCGTGCCGGCTGCGCTGGGCGCCGCCGCCGCCCTGCTTGCTCGCGTGGCTGGGGGAGCAGCCGCCGAGGGGGTGCAGCCTGCCCCACATGTGCCACTGCCTGCCTTCACCCTGCCTCCAGCCTGCCTGCCTCCACCCTGCTCCACCCCTGTGCGCCTCCCACCCCGCCCCACAGTGATCGACCTGGGCGTCTTCTTCTCCACCCAGCACGGCGGCCGCCACGTGTTCCGCCTCTGCCCCGACCCCGCCAACGTCACCAAGCCCTGCCTGGAGGAGCACGTTCTGCAGCGGTGAGGCGCTACGGTGTGCCAGTGCCTCTTGCTGTGGCGGCGATGTGCTGCGTGCAAGGGTTGCCTGGCCCCCTACGCGTGCTGCGGAGGGTACCTGCAGCGGTGCCTGCAGCGGTGAGGCCAGCTGGGCGTGTGTGTGCCTCTGCTCCATCATGTGTTCGTGGTCGTTAGTGTGGAGGAGGGGTTGGCAAGCCCCACACCGCATAGCTGTGTCGGCATGGGGCGGCGGGGGCACCGACCAACCCCAGCGCTGGGAAAGCGTCCCCCGGCGCGGCGCTCGGCGGCACGATGCGCCCGCTGGGGGCAGCAGAACCCTCGGCCCCTGGCATGCCTGCCCCCGCTGCGGCCGCTCTGAGCGCTGCTGACTGCTCCGCCCCGCCTGCCCCGCCTGCCCGCCTGCAGCGCCGACGGCGGCGGCCCTTACTCCTGGACGCCAGTGCAGGGCGGCCCCGTGCCGTGGGGCGAGTATGGGCGCACCACTCTGAAGAGCCTGCCCGGGGAGCTGTACACTTGGCAGTACAGGCTGCCGCCCGGCCTCACCTGCGAACGATGCGTGCTGCAGGCGAGTGTTGTGTGTGCCGGGGGGCATGCATGGGGCGGCTGGGTGTGACGGCGTCGCCGCGCTGGAGCTGCAGCGTGCCTCGCAGCGTGCCTCGCAGCGTGCCTTGCAGCGGCGGCGGCGCCGCCGCTGCTCTTCTGCTGTTGCGCTGTGCTGGGGCCGCCGCTCCATCCGCCCTCGCCGCGCACACACACACACACACACATGGCACACACGCGCGCTCAACCGCCGCCCCTGCTCCCCCCGCCCCGTCCCCCTTGCTGCAGTGGTGGTGGACGACAGCCAACAGCTGCCAGGTACCGGGCGCACCGGCCTACGTGGGCAGCGACAACATGGCCTGGTGCAACACGCCCGGCCCCTTCCCTGAAGAGGTGAGGGGGGTGGTGGTTTTGGGTGTGGTGGTGTGGTGGTGGTGGTGGTTTTTGGGGTGGTGGTGGTGCTATGGTGGTGGTGTGGTGGTGTGTGTTTGTGTGTGTGGCGGCGGCGCCATGCCAGCCTGGCGGGGAGCGCACGCGCTGCGCTACAGCCTCGCAGCCTCACAGGACCGTTCCCCAGGAGCTCTCTCTCCCACCCTCTCAATCTGCTTCCGCCCTCCCTCACTTCCCCCTGCCGCCCCTCCCCCTGCCGCAGTTTTTCAATTGTGCCGACATCCGCATCGGGCTGCAGCCGCCCTCCCCACCGCGGCCC